TTACAGATGCAAGGAAAGCTGACAAATGCCTGCCAGACCCCTCCCCCAGTGCCTCGATAGTCAAAGCCCCTGCCAGAACATGCCTGAAAGCAGCGCACCGAGAGACAAAGACACAAAGATTCCATTTTCTCAGTGAAAATAGATTTCATGTGTAAAACACTAGTGAGAAAAAATTGAAAGCTGACACATATGTGCAATTTTAGAGAGGCAGGGCTGAATATTTCAAGAAGATTGAAATTGCATTTGATTGCATCAAAGCTTAACAAATGTTGTTTAACCTAAAAGTCTTTTCAGTCTGTAAAAAGACATTCAGTAGCAAGATATTTTATTTTTTTTAAGCACATGGTTAAAAAGAAAAAAGAATCTTGAGCTCAGTGGAGAGATGTTGATTACATACTACTGTTGCATAAAGAATTAACACTGGCTCACATCACAGGGTCTACAAAATAAAGGGGGAAAGTTAAAAAAAAAAAAACCTATTGAATCAAAGGGTTCAGAAAGATAATATTAAATCCTTATGAGTATGTTTCCTATAAAAAGAATCCCCTCCCAGCAGCCCCAGGGTATCATTACTGGAGAGGCAGCGAGTGGTTTATTAGAGATTCAAACCTTGGCATCTGAGCCTTGCCAAGCATGCAAGTTTTAGCTTGTGAGCCCAGGGCCCTTGGCTTGCATAGTCCCTTCTGGCATCTAACAGTGAGGGCCGTCTGGTTGGTCTCCACACGCCAGGCAGTGTGTGGGTGCAAAGGCTCAGACTGGGAGACAAAGGAAGATCATCATTTGCTATGGAAGGTCATGCTCCATGCTTTTCTTCCTACCTAAATTCATATATGCCAGCATAACATTTAGGGATGAAAGGAGAAATATGTGAAAAAAGGAAGACATAACAAAATGAATCAGGGAATTAACCTATAACATATCTTCAAGTGATATTATAAATAAATATACAGAGAGAAAGAGGGCGAGAGAGAGAGAGAGAGAGAAGGAGAAAGATAGAGGGAGAGAGAGAAGGGAGAGAGAAAGTTCGAAGTTTTGACTTAGAATGATCTTTTCATGCACGGGAAGAAGCTTCTCCCCTCTGCCTCCTTAGATTTTTAACTTTGGTGGGTGTTTGTATTTCTTTAACTTCATATACCATGCAAAGCCAATTCAGTTGTATATGAAAAGAAACTGTGTGGTCACTTTTATTTATTTTTTTAAAAAATATTATTGAAGTATAATTGACATACAATACCCTATTAGTTTCAGGTGTATGTCATAGTGGTTTGATGTTTTTATACATTATGAAATGATCCCCACAATAAGTTTAGTTATCATCTGTCACCATAGAAAATTATTGCAATATTATTGACTATATTCCCTATGCTGTACATCATATCCCCATGAATTACTTATTTTGGTACTGTAAATTTATATCTCTTAATCCCCTTCACCTATTTTGCTAACCTCCTAAACCCTCCTCACTCTGGTAACCAACAAATTATCTCCTGTATCAATGAGTCTGTTTCTGTTTTACTTTTGTTTTTTAGATTCCACATGTAAGTGAAATCATACAGTATGTCTTTCTCTGTCTGACTTATTTCACTGAGCATAATATCCTAAAGGGCCATCCATGTTGTTGCAAAATGGCAAGATTTCAGTCTTTTTTATGGCTGAGTCATATTCCAGTGTAGATATATACCACAGCTTCTTTATCTGTTCGTCTGTGGATGGGCACAGCTGCTTTCATATCTTGATTATTGTAAATAATGCTGTGATGAACAAAGGGGTAGTTCTCTTCAAATTGGTGCTTTTATTTTCTTCGGATACTTACCCAGGAATGGAATTGCTGGATCATATGTATTTCTATTTTCAATTTTTTTTTAAAGATTTTATTTATTTATTTGAGAGAGAGAATGAGATAGAGCGAGAGAGCATGAGAAGGGGGAGGGTCAGAGGGAGAAGCAGACTCCCCGCCGAGCAGGGAGTCCGATGCGGGACTCGATCCTGGGACTCCAGGATCAGGACCTGAGCCGAAGGCAGTGGCTTAACCAACTGAGCCACCCAGGCGCCCCTTTCTATTTTCAATTTTTTGAGGAACCTCCATATTGTTGCTGCACCAGTTGACATTCTAAACAACAGTGTATGAGGATTTCCTTTTCTCCACGTCCTCGCCAACCCTTGCTATCTTTTGTCTTCTTTGCGATAGGCGTTCTGACAGGTGTGAGGTGATGTCTCCTTGTGGTTTTGACTTGCATTTCCCTGATGATGAGTGATGGTGAGCATCTTTTCATGTGTCTGTTGGACATCTGTATGTCTTCTTTGGAAAAAATGTCTATTCAGGTCCTCTGCCTTTTTAAAAATCAGATTGTAGAGGTTTTTTTTTTTTAAAATATTAAGCTGTGCACATTCTTTATAATTTTGGATATTAACCTCTTATCCGTTGTATGATTTGCAAATATCTTCTCCCATTCAGTAGGTTGCCCTTTTGTTTTGTTGATGGCTTCCTTAGCTTTGCAAAAACGTTTTAGTTTGATGTAATCCCATTTGTTTATTTTCCCTTTTGTTGCCCTTGCCTGAGGAGACTGCCCCCCCACCTCAAATATTTCTATGACCAAAGAGCTCACTATGTTTTCTTCTCTCTCAAATTGAGCCTGCTTACAATCCCGTTCCAATCCTTTCAACAGCATGCTGTTCTTAATAGATAGGTTCAATATTTGCAGAATATTTGGAATGAGCTTAATATATGTTGAAAAGTGTGAGACCATTAACAGGTTAAAATGTAATTAATAGTAGCTGTCAGGGGTTAGAGACCAAGAAAGTGCACTGGGAATATTTTAATTTAAAAAAAATTACAATAAAGTTTTTAAAACTTGAGAATGCATTCTGTACTCTGCCACTCCCTTTCAAGCTCCCGCAGTTCTTAAATTCCTTTAGTCAATAGGAATATCAGAGCGAGAAAGAAAAGAAACTAACAAAGTACTTCATAATCTTATAAGAGTTGACTGAGAGGAAAAATGAGAATATTAGGTTAATCCTATGACCACTAAAACGTTTTATACAAACTCTTAATTTCCACAACAATATTCATGTCAGGAAACACTCCAGCTCTCCTTCCCAATCTAATCAAAATACTATACAGCATTTTGAACAAGATATTCATAACATTAATTAATCAAACTGCTATTTCCATTGGGTTATTAAAAATAACCAAAATGTACAAAGCATTCATCTATTTGCTATCAAAAGGGAGTGTTCCACATATTTGAGAGTTGGGAGCATGATTACTTATGAGTGTTCAGCCACTGTAAGTTTAGTGAGTCTCTGAGCCTCAGTTTCCCTTTGTATAACATGAGGAATTTTGTCAATCATAGGAAATTTGGGGAGGGGGGGATTAATCCACAAAGGCAGTGTTGGCCCCAAAATGCTAACATACATGTGTGTACAGTGGGAAGAGAGTGTAAAACTTTTGTTGTTTTAAAACTTTAAAGTTTAATATGAAGAGCAATCCCATGTCATTAATGGAGAAAAGAAGTCTCCGGTGAATTCAGTAAAATAAATCAGGCAAAAGCTATGCAATCAGCACACCATGGACCGGTTAATTGATGTATTTGTACACATTTCAGAATGTTTCTGTAACTTTGAATCTGATACTCTGCGATCTCAAATTTCTTAAAGTATATGTGACATATTTATATTAACTTTCTCCCCCCGTTAGTCATGTTTCTGCTAAGTGGATGTGCCCGGAGTAGCTGAGTGAGCCACAGTGAATCGGCATCAGGTCCCAAACCCCAGACAGAAAATGAGCTACCTTTGGTCCCACTCCTCACCTCCAAGCCCGCTGCCTTGGCCTCACAAGACTTCAGAACAACAGTGGAGGATGTGTGTGAAGTTTTTCAGTACACCTCCTAGCAGTGCCAGCCAACAGGGTCACTCAGGCCTTTTCCGTCGTACTTCCTTGGCGGCCCCCAGAGCATCACCTCAGGGGCCAATGAACAAAGAAGAAAATTATGAAAAGAAAGCATATTGTTATATGGAAGATACCGAGGAAAATATTGCTATTCTTTTAACAGAAATGCATTCTCAAAGAGAGAATACATATGTCTAACCTAAGAAGATCAACAAACTTACACATTCGAAACAGTGTTTCTTACAGTAATTTTTTTAAGCAAATACCAGGATTCCCTAATTTAAGAGTAAAAAGGAAAATAACAATGTGCTTGTCTTCATTTAGCCTAATTGAAAGGGAGAAAACCGCATCACTTAGTCACATTCAGTATTTTCTTTTTTGAAAATTCAACTGCTATCATAGACTAGAATAATGATACAGAGATAACATTGTGTTATTTAGATAAATTAGTCTCTGTAGGGAAATTAGGTGATGAAAAACAAAGCAAATACGTTTAATATGTCTGCTAATAAAATCTAGATTTATCTATCAATTGTACTAATGGTAGGTAATATTTTAAAACCTTTTTAAACATGGGAAATACAGGGGCGCCTGGGTGGCTCAGTTGGTTAAGCGACTGCCTTCGGCTCAGGTCACGATCCTGGAGTCCCGGGATCGAGTCCCGCATCGGGCTCCCTGCTCGGCAGGGAGTCTGCTTCTCCCTCTGACCTTCCTCCCTCTCATGCTCTCTGTCTCTCATTCTCTCTCAAATAAAAAAAAAAAATTTAAAAAAATTTAAAAAAAAATAAAAATAAACATGGGAAATACATCCAAAGGAAAACGAATCCTTATAACTAATTAGCATAGCAAAGGTAGCCAAAGCTATTTATTTTATCTCTTCAGGGGTTTCTGGTTGTTGACAAGACATTTTATAGTGGGGAAACCCAGACAGTGTTTTCTAGGGCCAAATTAGTAGCCCTAGAAGAGGAAAAATTTAGGACATGAGAAATTGGCAGATCTTCTACATATTGTTGGATTGGAAAACATCCCCATAAGAGGACAAAAATCAATTTTAGCTAATTTGCTTAGCAAGGCCTGAGTTTCATTTAATATCACTTTTTGTTTTATGCAGGGATCTTGGCAAAATTTGCAACGAATCCATAAAGGAAACTGAAAGCAGTTTGATCTTCATCTTCAATGACAGTTCCACAAAAGTTAAAGAACTACATTATGTCTCCAAAGAAGAGTACAGTGGTGCCCTAAAATTAGGACATGATTAAGGTATGACATTTCTTTTAATTCAGTTGCAATGCTTTTTTCTTTCCATAATTTCTTCTTCTTTTTCCCCAGTCTCTCTCTCTCTTCCTTTTCTTCCTCTCATTAACAGATTGTCTTTTATAATTGATGTTGTTTATTGTCCTTTCATCAAATATATGCCACATCACTTAGGCGAGCCATCCGACAGGGCACCTAAATACACATTAGAAGCTCCTGGGAGCCATGAGTCGCTTTGACCGCCTCGTCAGGGAAGTTATAATAAGCATCTTGATGCCACTGAATGCAATGCTGTATTCAAATAATAGCCTTCATCTTTGCCCTCTTTAAATATAAAAGTAAACCTTGAAGCCTTTGAAGGGCCTAACCAAACACCACACATGTGAAAATGGACCAGTGAGCCTTTGGGGAAAAAAAATCCTTATGTAAAATCTGTAAAGAATCTTAGCAGTTTTTCAAGAAAGACCTCCAGGTAAATGATGGCTGTGAATGAGACACATGACCATCTCAATTATGAGGATCGTTATTGTGGGCCCTCTGTGCCATTTTTGCTCCCCGCAGGATTTTTCTTTTCTCATCAAGTTTTCAGGGCTATCTACTGTTCTCTGTGTGTAAAGCATATTTAAGTGGTCCCACAAAGCTGCACTAATTAAAAAAACAAAACACACACACACACACACACACACACAAACCCTACCAAAAAGAAAAAAAAAAAACAACCACCAAAAAACTTTGTCAAGTGGTCAGACAGACTGGAACTAGAGGATTATAGGTAAGAGGGATAAAATGAAGGGTTGAAAGCTATAATTTCTATTTCTGTGGTAGCAACCGCATCAGCTATTGGAGTCAGGCAGTTTAAAGATATGGCTACTTAAGCATAGAGTCTGGGAAGAAGACATTTCAAAATATAACAGTAAATCAGGCCTCGAGTGAGAAAGATGCACTAAATGATGGGCATCCCTTGCTGGGTCCCTTTCCTGATTGTCCTGGCTTCCCTCTTCCCCACACCCATGTCTTCCACTTCCATTTGATTCCATCCCTGTCTTTGACAAGGCCATCTACTACTTTCTTTCTTCCCATTTTCATATAAATATATATATATATGTATTTCTTAAACCTTATATTTTAACCCTAGTTGCTTGGCCTCTGACTACCATCGCATGCTCTATGCTCCTAGAAAACAGAGAACTTGTTTTAAAAAGGAGACGGTGCATCTCAAAGGGCTTCTTCATTTGGCCAGAGAACAGTTCGTTCTTGAACATGATCTGACTGTCGATTTTCAGAAAAAAACCCTCCCTAAAAATGGCTTTAAAGAATGTGTATGCACATATGGGTGTCAGGCAGTCAAATCTGTAGCTGGAGCAATTTGAAGAATGAATTATTATAGTGACAGGATCGTTTATAAAATGATGAGAAATATAGATGTCTGTCTAGCCTATGTAATATTCACTATGATCTTGGGAATTTCAGTCCATAATTTGGCCTTATCCTTATATTTTTTTATTGGAATTAACAGAATCAGAGAGTTGGTAGGAAGCACAGAGATTTTGTAATACAGTTCTCATACTGAAATGAAGAAAATGAAGCCCAGAAAATAATCTGTTCTAAGTCATTCTGCTTGTCTATAAATGCCATTGGTTTAATTTTAGTTTTGCATATATTTAGACAAAGAAAATATTTTCCCAGAAACTGGTTACAAATATTTGAGAAGAGATATAATCATTAAAATATGTATGTAGTAAAATGTAACTATCATTCAATAGTTGATAATCTATATTGAAATTGCCTGGGGATTTTATTCATATAGGAAAACTTACTTTCATTGTTAATATATCCTCTGATCTCTATATATGTATAATATGTAAACCAGCTCAAAGTATCTATATAAATGAACTTTATTTTTGTATACAAGTACAACCCCCTTTTGACTTTTTTGTGTTCTGATTATATATTACTCACAGTTCTGTAGTTTTAACCAGAACAAAAAGGAGTGCCCAGAAGAAAAGAAGGTAAGTTATTTCATAAGTTGGGTTGGAAATTCAGAAGTTCTTTTTCCATTACCAGCATTGTGTTCTTAAAAAAAAAAAAATAAGACAGACTCTTACTTTTTCATTTATGAGTATTCCCATAAGAGCTGGCAGAAGTTGGGGTAGGGAGGAAATCCACCATAGATACACAGCTAGACCCTATTATTAGAGGCAATTGGTTGCATCCCATAGAAAATATAGTTTGCTCTTGAAGATGGAATAGGCTTAATGTTAAAAAAAAACAACATATGTTTATAAAACAAAGATTTTACATTTTTAATTATACCCCTAAGCTGGCTTTCTAGTTTTTCTAGGATATCAGGGCATAAAAAGAAAGAAAGAAAGAAAAGAAAGAAAGAAAGAAAGAAAGAAAGAAAGAAAGAAAGAAAGAAAGAAAGAAAGAAAGAAAGAAAAAAATATTTACTCAGATTAGTGTTGGGAACATCACATAGAAATATGTGTGGTGATGTTACTGGAAATGAGTATTTTTGTAAAGTAAACAAGTAGAATGTCTGAACTTTAAAAAGCCTGCCATACTGCCTTAAGGTTAAAAATGCAAGTCTAGATACATCTAAGAAATTGTAATTTGTTTAACTTTTTTAGTTCTAAGCATTTTCTGTTGCAAATATTTAAAAGATGGCTATGTCTTCAGTTAAAAATGATTTTGATGAAGTAGTACTACTTAGATTGTTTTCACTTTCTATAATTAAATGTACTTGCTACTTATTCAGGGCATACGTTTCAGGCCCAAATCATTGAGGACACATCTAAGTGACATAACATTTTTTTAAATTAAACAATTTTGTGACAGTTTTCAAGTTTATTTTAATTTGTGTTTTAGGGCCTTCAAATTTAGTTAAATAGCATCAAGATCTTGTCTCTATGATTGTCATAATTTAAATAATAATATGGAGCATGATAATATAATGAATACAGACTTATGGAAAAATTGCATTCCCTTAGCCAAAATGTGGGGGAAATCAGAACAAATGAGGATGAACATGATTATTTTTCCTGGTACTTTCATAGACTAATCTATAAAAGTTGGGTTTGATATATCTTGTCTTAATGGTATATGAAGAAACCCATGGCTGACATCAAAGTTTGTAGGTGTGTGGTATGTGTATTTTTAATAAAGATATCTATGATCCAACATTGCAGAGATAATTAGGCTTCACGTAAAACTACCTCTTCTAGAATCTTCAGGGACAAGGAAATGCAGCTGTGTATCACCTGCCCCTTCTACAGATAGTGCCAAAGGATCTAACTCAATGAAAATTCAAATCAGAATGCACAAAAATACAGTATTCCCAATCTGCTATTTATATTGCCAGATAAATTTTATATGCACAACAATATTTGCCCATTGTTAATTTTTATGTTGTACAATTATACTAAATTTTGAATGGCATCTTTAATAAAAGAAGCCTAGAAACATCCTTTGGCAAATAAAGGAAAAAGTCATCATGTACACTTGAGAAAACATTTTCAGAGCTATTGTAGGATTGCTGAAAGACACATTGAAAGATGTTTAAGGCTCAAGAATATATTTCATTTAGAAGCTGGGCTGTGCTTTAGTATTTTATCAACTTCATAAAATACTTGATTGATAGTGTTTCAATCATAAAGGAGATTTAGAAAGAGAAGAAATGTAAGTGAGAATCTTATTAGGAGCAGTAATTATATAGATAGCGAAGTGACTGCTTATTTTTTCAAGATGAAGTTTCATTTTAAGTAAACATTTTCAGGGAAAGAAGCTGATTAACAAAACTGAACATTCACACAAGGCAGTGCAAAAATTGAATCCCCCCATAAAAGGGGATTCAATGCTGGTCTATAATAATTAGCCATATTTCTCCACTAAGAAGAAGAGGTCTCTTCAGATCTTGATGGCTAGTGTGGATGTGGACATTTTGAGTGTAAGAAAAGGGAATTTGATTCATGTTCCATAGTTATCCGGCCATGATGGAAGGCTTTCATTTCTCCAGTGGGTATCATGGAACTTGTCTTGACTAAATAGTACTTAATTTTTCTCTCAGCCAGGGTTCCTCAACAGAGGCACTAGTGATATTTTGGACCAGATAATCCTTAGGCATAGGAGATTGTACATTGTAGCATTGTACATTGTAACACTTTTAATCAGCATCCTTGGCCTCTACTCACCAGATGTCAGTAGCATTCCTCTCTCACCACATTGATATTATCAGACATTGCCTTTGGTTGAGAGCCACATGTCTAGCCATTTTTCATTTCTTCTCTTATCTCAATTGAAAGTGAGTTATGTTGGCTTTTTGCATTATCTTTAACAGATATTTTCTATAAGGTACTCTTATGTACTAAGTGAAGAAGTGGTTTATAATGTGAATATTTCAGCAGGAAACAAAAAATTGGAATCTCAATGGTACATTCATTACTTGAAACATTAAATATTGTATTAAAAATACACAAATTATAAGGGATATTGAATGTGAGCTCATACTTTGTGCCATACATGAAAACTTGCAATGTAAGCCAGGGAAATTAATGCAAAATATGTTTGCCTCTGATTGGACATGAAAACTTTTTTCTTGTGTATTATAGTTAAATATAGCAATACATTTTCAGAGGTAATGATAGATAATTCCAGATAATTCTTCATGGAGCTAATTATAGCAGGAGAGAGGCCCTCATTGTGCTTTCCATAAATGTTGGCTTTCTCCGTGTACTAAAGCACAGTTTCCCTGGAATGGCACACAAAAGACTGAAAACAAAAGAAAAAAGTCTGCAGAGAACTGGGGAAATCATCATCAAAATGGGCTGATAGCCATGTATTTAAAATGCTGATTATCAACGATTTTTTTAACTAACAACAATGAGATAGCAGAGAATTATTAACTTGATATGTCTTTGGGACTTGAGGGTTTTTTTTTTTTTTGATGGAAATATATTGATAGGAAAGGAAAAAAAAATAAGCTACATGGAAGTCTAAGAAGCAAGCCATCAAAAAAGAAATATGCAGAAGGCAAGGAATCCTAAGTTTTAGACCAGAGGAAAAAAAATATGTTGATAGTATTGATCCATTGGTCTTCTAAAAACTGTGAAAGTCATTAAGCCAGTAAGTTTTAGCCTGGTTTAGCTTTAACAAAAAAAGCTATATGAATGATTTCAATATATTAAATGATGTTTTATTTAGCTTTTGTTAACAATTATAAATATATTATGAATGTGTTTGGCTTCCCCAGTGAGCACCTGGGAAAACTGAGCTGATTTGCCCTTCCTTCTTGATGGCATTCATGTACTTTTTCCAAAGCTCTTTAAGATCGCCTACTTAAAGACCCTCTACTAATGATATGGAGGAATTAAAATTTAAATATAACCAATATTTATTTTTTATTATATTTTTCAGACTTGAGATTTAAAAAAAAAATCTCTGGACGCATGAAAGATAAAATAACAGGTTTGCCTTTTAAAGACCTTGAGTTGTACACTAAGAATAGATATGGGCTGAGTTCCTTTCTAGCATGAATTGGATTATCACTGAACATATAGCCATGAATCTATAATGCCAAGAGTTAGACATAAAACTTGGAAAGCTTATAGTTCCAATTTGTAGTAACGAAATTATAAGATAGAGTTATGCATATAGCTTTATCTTTCTTTATGAAGAACTCAGAGTAACAGTGCTTTTTTTTTTTTTTATCAACAGTGAAGTCTTTCCCTGGTAACATATAAACAGAAAAGTGGATATGAGGACTTATCATTGTTACTGAATTTTAAAAGTAATAAAGCATTTTTACGGAAAATATGTGGAAATTGAAAATACAATTTCCTTTACCAATGCACTATGTCAGTCTTTCTTGCAACTTAATTACTAAAGGATGACTTTGATTATCACACATTTTCTAGGTCAAAATTTCCCAAACTTCTGCTATATCAGAATTACTTGGAAGGCGTGTTAAAATATAGATTGCTGGGTTTCAAGCCCAGGGTTTCTGATTCAATAGGCAAGGCCTGAGAGCTGCATTTCTTGCAAGTGCTCAGGTAATCCAGGCCCAGAAAGGCCCATGGCTCTAGACACATGTTTAATTTCTGATCTAGCTTCTTAGTGTGCTTAGTAACTTTCCCTTTATTGAAAATGGGAAAGGCTGCTTAAAGGAGTTGTATAAATTTCAGTTTACTCATCTGCAGTAGACCAAATCAGCTTTGTCACTGGGAAGAATGACTTATGACAGTGGATGTTTTTAATAAAAGATTCTTCACACAGCATTGAAAGACAGGAAACCTTAAAAGGAAAAGAAAACTGATAAAACTATGCCCAAACAGGGATTTAAATTGCTAAAAACCTTTTTTTTTTAAAAAAAAAAAAATACTGCCTGCTTACAAAGTAAAAGTTCATTTTCCCACACTAGAAAACACTTAGTTATCAATATTTTGTTCATATTTTTCCTTAGTCATCTTTTTTCCACTTGCCAGAAAAGAATTAATCATTCTCACCACTCACTGTCCCCCCCCAAAGTATACAATTGCTCTTGCCCTTATATATTTTACAACTTAAAAATGTACAGCATGACCCTACTAATTCAAGACTTTTATTTAAACTTTGGCAAGGTCCTATTAAATTTAAGATGTCATTAAACTACAGGACATCTAGGGCGCCTGGGTGGCTCAGTTGGTTAAGCGACTGCCTTCGGCTCAGGTCACGATCCTGGAGTCCCGGGATCGAGTCCCGCATCGGGCTCCCTGCTCGGCAGGGAGTCTGCTTCTCCCTCTCCCACTCCCCGTTTGTGTTCCCTCTCTCGCTGTGTCTTTCTCTGTCAAATAAATAAATAAAATCTTTAAAAAAAAAAAAACTACAGGACATCTATTACATTGAATAAATTATTCAGGATTCAAAACAATCTTTTCAAAGGTATGCAGGGCATCACCTACAGTTATATATGCTGTGCACTGCACAACTTCAGGAGGCACCATTGATCTAGACGATGATGTAAATGGTACTCTCTGGAATTGTGCAACCAGGTGTTCCTTAGTCAGAAATAATAGGCCAGGTTTAATAAGACAGACATAAAGTTCTTGTCTTAACTCCAAAATTCTTGGAGAATGGAGGAGACATGGCAGAAGAATTGCACATGTGATTTATGTCTGATTTAGTTGACTGCTGTTAGCTCAATGTGAGTCAATAATAATCTACACCTGCCCACAAAAACCATGGAAAGCTTAGTGTTTCAGTGGATCGGGTTTCTGGTGTGAGGGAAAGGAGAAGTCTCTTAGCTTCGTAGCTGGTAGAATGAATCCAGAGTTGACCACTTCTCAGTAACTGTTTTCAATCCTGCCTTGTTTGTAGGTAAACCAAGGCACCAACTGCTAATGTTATTTACAAAGAGCACTAAACAGATGTTCCACACGCAGCGTAATAACTGAGAACCTTAGACAGAAAAGCAAGAAATTGTTGAATTTTTTTCAATTAATTTCAGTGACCTGTGAACAAATATGTACTGGTTTTGCCAGTGAGGTATGCCAAAATAGCACCTTGATCCTAACTTTGGAATAAAAGTTTATGGAGTTTTTTGATAACTTCTAGCCTTTGACAACACAGCAGGGGAAGCTGAGAAAGGAGTTATTTTTAGCTGAATACTGGAAAATCATCCAGTTTCCTCTGCTCAGTCACTAATAATCCCAGACAGCCTTAAATAGAGTTGTTGATTAATTAATCTGTGTCCAAACATTTTATTTTTTTCTTAATGCTGTCGTTCAGGAACACTTGCTGTTAAACCTCGTCGTCTGGTTCTTCTCCTTAGAAGACCAACGTTAGCTGATAATGCCTATTAACACTTTACAGATGCTTTATAAAACCAGCGATATAATGCTTTGAGAGTGCCCACTCTTTATTTCCCACCCATTTTAATAATTCTGGCCCATCCTTTTCCACAGAAGCAAATGTACAAATGTGGAGACACTTCCGCATGAAGACCGAGTTCATAATGTGCATATCCAAAGCATCGACACTGATGCCGTATCCATGGTTCTCTAAGGGGAGGGTAATCTGTGATAACAAAATTGTATCCCTTCCTTCCTGCAATTACCTCACTATCCTTACAGCCTTGACATCTGGAAACCCACTGCTACAGTAGCAGCTGTGATTCCTGTTCTACAGCAGGAAGTTGACTACACATTCCAAAGCGCCCTCATTGTGATATTTTCTGGCTGCTTAAGGAGCTTGGATAGAGGAGAACACACTATTCTATACCAACCACAGTTTGGAACCATACAACAAAGTGTATCTTGTCACAATCTGAACCACTTATACGTATGGAAGTTTGTCTTTTTCTTCACGACAGATGACTGTTCATTGTGGTCGTAGTCCAAAGTTAGCCATGTTAGACGTTGCACACTTTATTAGGGAATTAAACCTGATTTTGTTCATAATTGACTATTTTCCGTAGTTTATTTGGTGGTTTCACCTCTGCCATAATTTTCTCAAGTAATCAGCATGGAAGAAGGCTTATCCAAAGACATGCTTCTATCTAAATACTTGGAAGAGAATTGATTAATTTAAGTTAGAAATTGTATTAGTTAGTATTAGAATAGCATTAGAGTATTAGAATAGTATTGTGAGAATCATTATGCCTTGCATTTGCTCACATAGGGCCTCACTTAACAGAGATTTTCAGATCCTTATCAATCTGCTAGAAATCAAGAGATCTCCAAAAGTAGTGCAGAATTATTAGTATTGGGCAAACACAGTTGTACTTTATCTTCACTAAACGTCTGAAACTATTTTGTGTTTCTGAGCCAGTAAAATTATAATATTGTTTATTCAGAATGCTTTTATTCCTTAAAAAGAATCAAAAGAAGTAACTACTGTGTTGTTTTACTGTTAATTTATCTTTAAAATGGCTACAAATAATAGTTTTCTTCATTATAAAAGCATTAGTGCTTTTTTACTCATCAAATTAAGAATGAAATGGATTTTAGTAACACCCTACAATTACCTTATTAATCAAAATTAGTACCAGTTATCTCCATGAAGCTAAACTGGTTTGCTGCAGAACAGGTTGAGGACTGCTGTGATTCAGAGCATAACTCTGCAAAAATATATTGATGTGATTTTTATTTAATTTACAAATTTTACTAAAGTTTTCCTCTTTCCTCTATTTCCCCCAAGATATAACAATATCCCCCATTGTATATTTTTATTTGCCTTAAATCTCCAATTTAATTTAGTTTTTCTTTTTTGCTTAATTATTTCATCTGGAATTTTATACTCATAAGTGATGAAATCTCAATCTCTCATAATTAAATAGTTGATTTAAAATAATTATTTATGTCTTCTATTCTAGTGACTGTAATCTCTGATATTCCCTTCTGGTTAGAAATATTTTTATGCTGGATTTATAATAAATTTCCTGTGATACTGATTCTGTGTATGCTTAAGCATTTGTCAGTTTTATCCAACTGTTCCTGTGATAACCAGAAGTTATTGTGCCTTCTAGTATTTTAATATTCCAATGTATGCTGAGTGTTTAAATAGCCATAAAAGCAATATTTGTTTGCATAGTTATTGGTTTGTT